TAGATACTTTATTTATCCCGAAGGAAATTCAAGTATTAGCTGTGTGCATATAAGAAAAGTGCCTTATGTTAATGAATTAACATTTATAACTACAGATATCAGTCAGCACCTTTTAACCTAGTCTTTGTTATATTTTAACTTAAATTCATCATAAAGTCTCTTATGTTTCAGGGTATTATTATAAAAAATTACAACTGAAATAGGAATGTAGACTCAAAACGTTTTAAACATTAGCAAAAAGAGCATTTAAAAACTCTTATACATAAGTGTGTGTGTGTGTGTCATGGGATGGGGTAATGCTTGTGTACCCATGTGTCACTGTCAGTATTGGATTTTTTGTCTGGGTCTCTTGTGTCTGTGCTCAGGAAGAAGCTGGCAGTCGCAGCTTTGGCTTGGTTGAAATGAAATCTCTTGGCAGGTTTGCATTGTGGGCGGACCTGTGTGAACAGTCTGGTTTTACTAGTTTAGGCACATTTCCACTGATACCAATGGAGGCAATGTAACAACATAACTTTGCATTTACAAAACAGTTGGTGAAACAGGAGCAGTTTCAATACGAACTTTTGAATCCCAGAAAAACATTTGGCTTTTAGCAGGAAGCAGCACTTCACCCTTATGTCATGATCAGTTATGTGTCTTTTTAATAAAATATCTTTTTAAAAAACAGACAAAGATAACAAACTTTTTATTTTTCTCAACTATATCCCTTTATTGTAAACCACAATCAATTGACCTTATATTTAGGCCAGCATTTTGAAAAAGTACGTACATTTACAACAAAAACTCAATAGTGAACATAAATTCTACAGAGGTGTATATAATCTGAAAAAGGCCTAGTGCATAATCTGTTCTCGAAGAGCATGTCAGCAGAGTCTGTAAAGACAGTGATATTAACTATTAACTTGTATTATTACAGATATAAATTAGTGTATATTAAGCGTCTGAAAACAAAGTACAGTAATTCAGCACATTTCATCATGGTTATACACAAACAGTGCCATAAGAAATTTCAATCTCTGCAATACACTTTGCCCTCTTTGAGAAAATAATGAAAGATTTGGCCATTTCCAGTGACAGCCTTTGGTCATATTAGTCAGTTGATTATTCTCATTCAAATGTGCCAAATTTTGGCTTAAAAAAAAAAAAAAGAGTCCAAAATTGTCTGTCTTTGTTTGTGTGCCTAGTACTGGCTTGGTGTGTATGCTACAGATCCTGGCGGGGGTGCAGAATAGGGAGGCTGGTAGCTGTATGCTGGCTGGTACGTGTACGGCTGGTATGTGTATGCAGGCTGGTAGTTGTTTACCCCAGGGTTGTATACAATTCTCTCATCTGGCTCCTGGGTTCGGGGAGCATGACGGCACAGCAGGATCACTCCGGCAGTGAAAAGCAAAGCTGAGGTTACCCAGCCAATGTAAAGAGCCTCCCCAAGCTCCCTACGCTGGGCATCGATCAGCAGAGGGTTGTAGAAATCCCTGATGATGACATGGCCCGTCCAAGACACTGGGATTATAGTAGTAATGCAGCCCATCAGGAACAGACAGCCTCCAGCCACAAGAACAACATGCTTGGTGCGAGCCCGATGGTCCACCACTTTGGTACACTTCATCCCCACTGCTGAAACGATGAGGGCAAGTGAAGTCAGGGCCACGGAGCTGCACATCAGACCCCGAGCAGCCTGGAGGTCCGGAGGCAGAAACAGCAAAGAATCGTATACCTTGCACTGCATCCTGATGTTTGCTTGTCTGTAGCAGTTCATCCACAAACCCTCCCAGCGGGTCTCCATGACAATTATGTTCTCCTCGATGAAGGCTGTTACCTTCCACATCGGCAGGCCTGTCACGGCCGCCACTCCGATTAGTCCAATGAAACCGATGATGAGGGCCACTACTTCACAACAGATGGCTTCCCGACGGTCCTTCTTCTCAATTCTCTTTTTTTCCTCGTCTATAGAGTCTTGATAATCAGTATAGGCCTGGGCCTGCTTCTCATCGTAGTAAGAGCCTGCGTAAGATTGAGGTGGCTTGCTGTAGCCACTGTAAGCAGTGTAAGTGGCCATTGCGGCTATCACACAATAAGCCAAAGATAGAGCTTTGGCTCTACTCTCACAGCTCACGAAACAAATCTGAGAGGAATAGCAAGTCAAGGAACTTATACACCCACAAAAAAATGCTAACGATGCAATGCAACCTTACCGGTTGGGCTGCTTTACAGCCAGATAAACGGGGACACACCAAAAGAGTGCTGCCACTGTCACTACTAACAATCAACAGTTAACAATCAATAGTTTTGAGATTAAGATTCTTAATCACAAACTAATTAAATCATTCTATGAAGTCACGGTTGATCAAAGTATGAGACATTTCAATGTTTTCAGTACTATATAGAACAATGTTTTTGTGAGTTAAAGAACCTAATTTAGATAGCAAACAGGATAGTTTATAGTTTGTACTACTATAAACTTGAAACATACCTAAAATATCATTGTCATTATTACTGGTTGGAACTTGAAGCTAAAAAATAAACAATAAAATGTAAAACAAAACAAATCTCTTTTTTATCATTTTGGATACCCAGTATTAAACACAATATGTCTGTAGGTAAATGTATGTATGTAGGTGGTGGCTGAAATAATCTGTGTAGGTTATGAATTTGTTTTTTCTCTCAAACCAAAAGCTGATAGGATGATCACAGGTATGAAACTGTCTCCTCATTTACATGTAAACTGAGCTGATAAAAAGGTGTGGAGCACAGAAACTTGAGTAGGATTGGTTTCCTTGTAACACGGTATTGTTTGTTTGCCAGCAGTTCTCACCCTGTCACTGCCACTGTCTTCCTCTTAAACATAAGAAAACTGCATGTAGGTCTTAGTGCAAGAAAAATAACCGATCTGGAGTATTAGTTGTGTTTAGTTTAAAGTTTGTATTTCATGTTTTTGTGGAAACTACACACTAGAACTCTAGAAAGAAATACAATGACAAGCAACCATAGAATCAAACCTTTATTGAACATTTTAAATCTGTTGACTAGGTTTACTTCTTGGCCATCAGAGAGAGTGTTCACTCTCACACACACTGAACACAGAACACACTGATTACATTCACAGCAAATGAGCTAAAAACAAATATTTTATATGTTCATCTAGTATTGTTCAAATATTTTGGTTCAAATGTGAAGGGCTTGGTTAGAAAATACAAACAATGGATATGAGAACCATTTTAATGAATAAGAAGTATGTTTGTAGTAGTAGGAGATCAATATGTGTACATAGGTAGTGAAAACAAATCATCTTGTGACCTTTGCCTTTACCATCTTTCAAATGTTAGTCATGTGAAGTGGAATTTGCACATTCATTTCAGGCAGTACAGTACAGTTCTTTACACATAATGTTGATGCTTATGAAAGCTGGATGGTATCCTCTCCAGATAAAAGCTGGCCTTGTTCTGTACTTCCCCCTCCGCCATAAGATAGGCATCAGTGTAGAGCTCTTCCTCCTTTGATCAACATTTGCTGTAGCAGAACAGAAGGATGATCCCGTTTGTCTGCATCCAGCACTATTGGATTGTAGAGGTTGCTCTATGTGGCCCACCCAGCTGACAGGGATGAGTGTGGTCAAAAAGGAAAGCAGATACAAACTACCCCCTAAGGCCAGGGTGATGTTCTTGCCCTTTATATTATCGCCACAACAGTTGCTCCTCTGGGTCCCACATCCTGTGAGGAACAGGGAGATGAGAACCAGGACTATGGAGACGCACATGAGCCCCCTGGCTGCCTGCACTTTTGGTGGTAGAATTAGCAGTGAGTCATACACCTTGCACTGCATCTTGATGTCAGCCTGTCTGTAGCAGTTCATCCACAAGCCCTCCCAGAGTTCCTCCATGACGATGAGATTGGCACCAATACAGGCAGATACCCTCCATATGGGCAGGGCAGTGACAGCTATGTTCCCAAACAGGCCAGTGAAGCCCAAGACCTCCAACTTGTCTCAGAGGGATGTGCAGTCTCATCACTCATCTGTCGTCTAATGAAAAGACTGCTCAAGCAATCTGTTTTACAGAGCATTAAATCTGTGATAATATCACCATGCCTGCAGTGCCATCCTACTGGTTTATATTGACTTGTACCTTGCAATAAATAAATAAAAAAACTACGCTGCATTTGTTCAGCTTTCATTTTAACAGATGTTGTCATCATTGCCTGCATCAAGTCCCAATGAAAAGAGTAGGATTATGGTGCCATGCAAAAAGCTTGCAAGTTTAGTTTTGGTGACTTTCAAGACTACATGATCAACCCCAAGCCTATACATGTTGGCTGCTGTTGCAGTACTTTATCCAAGTTACTCCTACTTGTGTGGTGGCATGTTACCATTTTGCATAAAGAACACTGCAACAAAAAACAGTTTTGAAATAAATGGTGTTATGTTAGAAAATGCTTTTTTCCTTTTTTAAAAGTCTGCAACAATGGCATTGTCCCAGGAAAAACTGGATGTGGTCAACCTAAAGGGCAACACACCTACCCATTTTCTTTCTCTGAAAGCCCACACAGGAAGCATCTTGATGTGCGTAAACTCGTCAGTAGCAACAATTTTATTAAATCACCACATCTTCTTTCTATCTTTGTACGTTTGCTATGGGCATCAGTTAAAGTGACGCATTGCTACAGGGTCATTGTGTATTGCACTGAAGTCAACATTATTGTAATGTTTTTTAAGAAAGTTTGTGTTAGATCTGTAAACATCTACATGGCTTCAGCGTGAGCCTCATTAACTCTGATCATTAATGATAGGCCATAATCATTCGAAAGAGATGAGTGAAAAACAATCAATCTACCTAAAATAGGGTTTTGACTGACAACACTGTTGACTCTGACTTGCTTTCACTAAAACAAAAAATTCTTTAAATGTGGCCCAGTAGATAGTTTGATTGTATGGAAATGTTTCGAAACAACAGAGGATTTCATTGTTCTTAACAAGAGCCACTCTTTTATTCAACCTTCAGTTGGACTAGGAAAGGCAACACCCTGTTGGTCACCTTGTTTCTGAAGTAAGAGAGACAGAAATGGAAAGAGAGAGAGAGAGAGAGAGATGAAGCAAGAGGTCATAAAATAGGAACAGAAACTGGAAAGCCTGTAGAACAGGTTTGCTAAGTGATACTATACGTCACATGCTCAACCGCTTTAAATGTAAACAGACTTGCACATGCTGAGAAACCTGTAGCTGTGAACTCAAATACATCAAACGTGTTATTTTCTGTAGATGTGTGACCTCTGTGCTGTTGTTTTTAGAGTTTGATGTGAGATGGATTTGATTAAAAATATGAAGCCAACTATAGTAACTTGATTAGGCAGGTGCAGTGGCACAGGCACAGGAAATAATGTACCTCTACAACAGACTGTGTGTGCCACCTGCTGTATGTAAATGTGACTACACATTCCTGGGCCCCAATAAAATTCATGTAACATTTTCAAATAAATTAATTTCATGAAATTCCAATTTCCTTCCCCTGCCTACTATCACTTCTAATTTAGACAATTTCTATTTCAAGATTCAAGATTTAGAAATGAACTGTTCAGACAAAAGAAAAATCTTATGAATTAAGCTTGGGCTATTTTATCTCTAGCTAAAATATGCATCTGTTCCTTCAAAGCAAGGGCATTGGCAAAGCAACCCTGTCCCATCTCAGCACTCTGTCATTCACCACTGCAACTGATACTATTGCTGCAGATCTACAGAACAATGAAGTCTGAAGTGATCTTTTCCCTTTATCTGAAGAAGCACCCAAGCTTTTATAGTGGGGGTGGTGATTGGCATGAGTGAGAGTGAAGTCGTCTCAACTCAGAGGACCCCGAGTTCAGTTACCAAGATGGCTACTTCCGAGCATCACACGTAAGCTAAAACATGTGGTTGTTTGCTTTACATATTTTAAGCACTTTTGTGCTTGTGCCTGTAAACCAAATGAAGACAGTCGATAACACATAGCACTCTATTACTGTTACCATAGGCATGTCGTACAGTCTTATTATGTGTTTAAATTACGGCCTTTATTAGTTATTTTTGTTACCTTTTTGTGCCAGGGCTGAAAGTTGGGCTAGAGACGGGCCTCCATTGCTTGCCTATGACAACAATGGCCGAGTTTTGAGCAGAAAAGCAGAGCAGCAGGCGTAACTGTTATCAAAACAGAATATTCAGGGATATCAAACTGTTGAAATTATGATTGGTGTAATATGTAATGGGTGAACATAGTGAAATCCCGCGGGTTGGGCCACCGTGAACGAGAACAATCATATACTATAGCGACTTTTACTTGCGGGGAGGCCGTCGTGTCTTTTTCTCCGGACTTCATCGGGTTGTTGTGTTACCCAAACAGCAACGAAAAAACCCGCGGTTACTCGTTTTCCAACACGGATGTGACGTCACTCTCGAGTTGCAAGTCGCGATTACGAGACAAAACGAACGCACCATGAGCCTGGTTGACAGGATGTCCACAGAGCTCAAAGACAAAAAAAAGAGGAGATCGGACTGTGAGAACCATAGATTATAGTGTTTAGGGCATGTGCAGCCTTGCTTCCCATGTCATCTTTAAAATGTTGATGAAATTGGTCTTTGCCGTAAATGCCTACAACTCGCATAATAGATACTTGCCTGTAAATGTAATGTTTTGACAGAGGACTCGACCAGAGAAAAGGCCATGTTGTGATATAAATCGAAAGGGTTCTTTGTACAGTTTCCATTATAGGTCTTCCTTTGGGGAAGTTTAGATTACCTTACGGAATGAGGGATGTAAAAAATCCAATACAGGAGTAAACAAGCAAAACTTCTTGCAAAATGTCTCATCATGTGTACTTATAATGCGCTTTTTAATTAGGAGAACAGCTGATGAGATGTATTGTTCCTACTATTTTTCTGGTCATTTTAATATACCTACCATTAACACTAAAATTGTGCAAGAGCTTTTTTGTTTAAAATGTAGTTCAGTTGCTGTGCCCTACTCTTACCAGCTCAGAGAACATGGCACCTCCCTACCTCATCAACTGCTCAATTGTTCATTACCATTTAAAAAAACAAAGGGGGTGGACAATATAAAGAAGCACTTTACAACAGTACAACAATAGCCCTCCAGTA